CTAAACTAGATTAGTTATATAATTAAAAATTTTCAGTTGACTTCCCGTTTTCAATAGAAAAACAACTTGGAATTAAACGCATTATCACTCAATAGTTCCATCTGACCATGTGGAAAAATATTCGTCACACGGTGATATCATGCAAAAATATTGAATTATGTAGTTCACCGTTTGTATGTGCAGCTATGAGACTTTGGGATCATTGAGAAGAAAGATCTGTCAATCGAAAAAGGATTACATTGAAAACGGGAAGTCAACTGAAAATTTTTAATTATATAACTAATCTAGTTTAGACTTGGCAAATCCCTCAAGCACAACATCTACTTGTAGCAACAAAAGAAATGAAAAATTAAAGTACTTTTACTAGATGTATCAGCGAGAACTAAATGGTGAGATATTATTTCTATCTTCTTGCCGGTTTCATCAAATTTTCGCAATGCCAAACAAATCAAAATCTAATTAACATACTACATATGAACAAAATCCTATCTGCACCTACGTATATAGACATTATGTCGTTAACTTTATTATCCATGCTATCACGCATAAATCAATGAACTAAAGCAAATCAAAAACGGGAAAAAAAAATAAAATCGATTGTCAAGAGATCTTTTTTTAATTTGTGATTGACTATCATTTTCGATGATGGAATTTGATCATGACTGATTCTCTAGTCGCAATTCTTTTTATATTGAACAGCTGGCATGAATAAGTGACATTTGCTGTGTGTTTGAGTTAGAATCGTTCAGACAAATTTTACGCGTTCATTCATCTCTGAGAGAAAAGTTATCAAATATAATCGGATCCGAGTAAATGCAATGCTCGTTTCATAATTTTTCGATCCACATCGAAATACATGTGCTTATAGTGTTAGTTTTGGGTGAAAGCAGCTGTTACTGTTCACATAATTACATCAAAAGGTCATGTATGAATAGGTCGTGTTCATCTCCTTTAAATGTGAAACTTTTGAATGCAGTATACTGCAATAAGAAAACAATGCTCATTTTCTAATTGAATCTACGAAGCCTTTTGAACTCTCTTTTTAATAACGCTGGCAAATTCATATGGTTTTCATTTCATTCAGAACAGAATAGTATTTCGACTGGAAGTTTCCTTTTAATAACCATGTTAAACAAAATATATGTTGTATGCATTTTCTTCGAAGAAATATCTAAAGAAGTGTCTCATGTCCGTATAAATGGAATGACACTCTTTTCATCTAATGATAAGACTGTTTTCATGAGAAAAATTACATTTCTTTTGTTCTTAGCAAAAGCCCTATTATACTAGACGTCACGACGGGAAATAAGAATATTTTGAAAAGGAATCAAATTTGACTCAGCTCTCATTGTCTCAGCACTCATAAGCGAATTATGAAATTCTTTCTGAGACATATTCTTAAGACTGGAAAATTGGTTCCCATTGTCCAGAAAATGAAGAACAATTTTTTAGAATGCATGACACTTTAATGTTGAATGAAGTATTCAAAATGTACTTTACCCTCGTGTAAGTGGGAAGGGATGACTATGCTCTAATTTACGATGATGAATGCCTCGTAGAAGGCTTGATGTACGCTGATATCTCGATGCATTGCAAAAAAGACTGTGAGATTGTTTTTTCTGTATTAATATTGTGTTTCCACTAGATAGATGTCTTTTCAATAGAGAAAATGATCGTCATTAGATTTCCGTATTATGTATATCTGGATGCATTTGAAGATATAAAGCGGGGTGCATAATTAGGAAAGATTAGTAGTGAAGTAAGAATTAGATATAGAGTATTGTTGACTTCATGGTTAGAATATTTCGTTGAGCTTTCATTAAAAATTGCTTGATGCTTCACAACTGGCGATAATAACTAATGTAGTAGTTATTAACTACTACGCTTCCTTTCCTTCTAAATTTTTTCTTGTCGCGCCAGAAATTTTCTAGTCGCATCTTTTTTCGCTTCAGATAAAATAACCGAAGAAAAATTCTTCTTCTTTTTCTTTGCTTAGGAGCTTTTTTTTTATTAGCTTGTCATTTTTCTCTTGTTTTAATTGTATTCTGCTGATTTGAATACTCGCAGCCGATTATTTATCATAACCAAGGGATAAATTTAATAAATTATGTTTGACAATAATCTTAGCACATTAAATAATACAACACTTGCATCTGTTACAGTTTTACTGAGGAAATATCCAATAACTTATTATTTTGTTCCTTTTTACGCAATATTGTTTTTATTTGGTACATTTGGTAATGGCCTGGTATTTATAAGCATGCTTCGATCATACCGCCTGCGTACTGTGACTAATACTTATTTACTCAATATAGCAGTAGCTGACTTCCTCCTTTTGTTAAGTATACCATTTCTTATTGTTACTATTCTTGCTAATGGCTGGATATTTGGGCATGTTTTATGTAAGATGTATTACAATTTTATTCATATTAATCAGTATGTGAGTTCATTATTATTGGCTGCTTTATCATTTGATCGATATCTTGCTGTTTGCCGTCCGATTCAAGCAATTGAATTTCGAACAAGAACAAAATGTGTCCTAATCATAGGAGGTTTGTTAGAGTAAAAGAGAAAACTCTTCTATTGTTCACTATTGTCTGATTAAGGATGTTGGCTTATTTCTGTTCTTTTTCTTTGTCCAACATGGGTATTTGCAACAGTCACATCCGAACGATATGTTGTTTGGTATGGATATCAAGTACAGAAGTAAGAATATATTAAATCATTTTTATAATTGACTACAATATTTCTCTATGTTTTGTCTTTTGTTAATTTGAGTACGTTAACTAAGTTAACCGAAAAAGTCTATTCATCACTTTCGTTCATTTTCATCACTTAAGAGCATCATAAAAACAAAAAAGTATGAGGATAATTCAAATTGAATGCTATATACATCGGAGAGCATAATGAAATTTATTATAGACAATCAAGCGTTTCTGATGCGCGTTTTCAAATCATACTTCTGGCAAATATATTTTTATTCACATTCAAAACCTAATGGATGCATTCAAACGAGCATTTTTTGCATGGCTTCCTCCTTATAAAATGAATACTTTAAAAGCATCATCTGAAGCAAATTGAGGAGAACATTCAGTATTTCGGACAATAACTAGAAATAGCTGGATGAGAGTTCTTGCATTTCGTTGGTTTTCCGGTGCGACGATTCCTTTGTTATGTCAAAAATATAAAGACTGGCATAATTAATTTTTTTATTCTTACGAATAAGAATATTTCCATGAGAGATATCGTTGACGAATAAGTAGAAAAAAGTTTCTCTCGACGTTCCCCTTCAGATTCATATCTGAATTAATTATCACTAAAATCTATATACCAACTATTTATGATCGTTAACGATTAAGGAGTTTCAAACATATTTACATTCGCGATAGTTAATTCTAGCTTACTACTACATATTTTGTTTATAGACATATTGATGTTACTTATAAAAACACCAGTCATCACGTAATCGCGATTTAAACTTTAGCTGCATCATTTTTTTTGTCTTTTTAAGTCATATTTTCATAGAGCATACAATATTGTGCATTTAAAACGAACGATAGGCTTCAAGCAATGCTTGTCATATGCCGTGAAAATACAGATGACATAGACTTGAAATTTGTCATTTTTCTTTGTAGAGGACGTTGACTAAAATGTCACTTATTGTCACTCATGTTGACTAATACATCTAACTTCTTTTATTGACGAGATAGGCTGGCCGTTTTATTTAATTCTAGTTATCCAGTGAGAATTTTGAAAGATTATTTATATAGTTTTTATTTTACACGCTGTATCTTTGCAGACAAATTTTTTTTTTTGTTTGATTTTGAAGTGAGAACCGAAAGTTATTCTTAGATTTTCAATTTTTCTCATTACAACTTAGTTTTCTTTCGATGAAATTCTATTCATAATCAGCACCAATACTGAGTTCATTGATGTGCATTTAGGCACTTATCGTCACTTATTATTTCTGTTTAGACGGATTTCAAGCATATAAGCTTTGGCAATGAGAGTCTTCACAAAGCATGGCGCTATCGGAAACAATAAAACCTTGCATGAATAAGCGCATTCGTTTTTGCTGATTATGAATAGGATTTCATCGACTAGAAATGTAGTTCTAATGAAAAGCATTGAAAAATCTAAGAATAACTTTCGATTCTCCCTTCAAAATCAAACAAAACAAAGAAAAAATTTGTCTGCAAGGATACAGCGTATAAAATTAAAACCATACAAATAATCTTTCAAACTTTTCACTTAATAACTAGAATTAAATGAAATACTAGACTTATCTCGTCAATAAAAGAAGTTAGATGCGTTAGTCAGTATGAACTTTTCTCATGATTATAAATGGCATTTTAGTCAAGGTCCTTTTAATTATTTGTTATTATGAAGATTAGTTCAATCTTTTTCTCTATTTATTTCTTGATTGTTGAATTTCGAAAGACTATTTTTACAATTTTACAAGAATACTCATCACTTAAAGTTGGAAATCGTGTAAAAGAGGTAGTGTGCTCAAATAAAAGTGACAAGTGCCACGTACATGTTTTCTGCATTTTTACGACATATGAAAAACATTGATTGAAACTATTAGCTCGATTTTTTTAATGAACAATATCGTATGCTCTATTAAAATATCCCTTAACAAGCATCTACTTGAGATTCGAATGGGCAGTGAGTTATTATTAGAATGAAAAAGAACTTATTCTTTTGATGTAAATGCTTTCTCATTATGTTCATATTGCATATGTATCAGAAGTGTTCTTGATGGCTTTTTATGACGGTAAAAGACCCGTCATTTACAAAAGATGGAAAGTGTCGATTTCATCCTCAATGTTGCATAATCTATATGTTATAGATCATGTAATCTAGATATGCAATTTCTCCATATTGTTTTAATAATAGCTGAATTTTCTGATTAATTAGAAACAGTAACATACTCAGAAGTACTTCCATTATGGGCGCTCTACGAGTCAAACTATTTTGTAATGTAAACAGCTATGAGCGATTTATACTCTTTTCAAAATATTCGAGCACAATACCTATTATGTTGTCTAGTCATTAACGTCGTCGTTAAATAGGAGCAAACGATTTCTTGACGCTTATGGTTGGATATGCTATCGATCAGAACTAAGTCAAAGATGTTCAACTAAACTTTCAATCACATAGTTACTTTTGAATGTACATTATTTTTTTGCTAAATTGGTTATTCGCACGAAGTTTCATTCTATTTGGAGTAATTTATCGATTTATTTAATTTAAATCAAAGTAGAAAAGTTCTTTTTTTCTAAATTTAATATTTTTCAACATGTTTTACTCAAACTCAAAATCGATTAAGAAAAAAGTATAGCTACAGAAAGTCTTATCGACAACATTCTAGAGATTTGTTTTTGATGAATAACCACTCTATATGAATATCAAAATCTTTGATGATGCTAAAAATATGAAATAGTCAATTTAATCAGTATCTTAATATTTTTTATTGGATTGCATAAGATATTTCAAGTACATGAAAATTGACTATAGTATGATTCTATTCAGATAATCTTAGAATAAATTTATATAGGTTTTACAGAAAGAAAATTTAATATCTTAGGTTGAAAAATAAAAATTTTGTTATTAGATGTGTCATCGATTTTCCATCGATTTTTTTTACAATTCCACCAGAACTTGTTTTCACTTATTATGCATTTTTACTTGGCTTTCTTGTTCCTGTATCGATGATAACAACATTTTATATTCTTGTTTTGGTGCGTCTTCATAATATTCGTCGTAAACATCGATCTGAGCTAAAAGAACGCTCACATCGAAAAGTTACACGTGTTGTTTTGGCAGTTATAACTGCTTATTTTATTTGTTGGGTACCATATTGGTTTTTACAAATATTTATAACAATTGATCCATTGATTCAATCGTTACGTTTAAATATTTCTATCTTACCTGCTAATAGGAATATGCGGTTTCTTAAAGAACTGACACATTTAACGACAATTATTGGTTATGCTAACAATTGCCTTAACCCAGTATTGTATGTGTTTTTATCAGATTCATTTCGTGAAGAATATTTACTTGTTCTAAATTGTTTTAATTTTCGCCGAGCAAATCATCAAACTAGTAAACCTGATGACAATATTCAATTATCCGAACTTAAATCGACAAAAAAAGAACGAAAATCATTTGCTTTAAGAAAACAACGTGAAATAGCAATGAAAAAAGTCAAACACAGTGTTGCTATGGATGATATACCTATAGAATATCGTACATTTTCATTTTGTTTTCATTCTTCAAATGATCAAAATCGTTTTTCTAATTCATCGATCTCATCACGAGTAGTTCATAAAACTTCTGTACATTCGAATGTTTCTTATAAATTACCGCAGTCACAACCGAAGTATGTTAATGACCCATTGAATCACTCTTCAAGAAAAACGTTCATACCCAAGATAACAACAAATTCTGTTCCTCAATCAACACCTATAATGGATGATGGCGGTGTTTATTGTGGTGATTAAGCCAGTGGCATAGTCAGAAACTAGCAGTTATAGACAATTCATCCATTCAGCTGCTTTAAAGAATGTGTACCTATTAACAATTTTCACAAAAAATCTGAGAGTAATAACTTTTGAAGGCACCTGGTAATCATCATTATTTGTAAAAATGCATGGTTAGGAACTTTCCAATGTCTGGTTCATTGCTCAATAGTCGTCGGTTGAATAAAGTAAGATATGAAGCAAAAAAAAACTTTCCCTCATTTTATTTTGTCATTGACGTTTGTTGTAATTATATATACCCAAAAGAAAAACTTGGATTCATTTCTTTTATTTGCTCAATAAAAATATTAAGAGGTTCTCATGATCAATCCAAAAATATAAATCTATTCATTCCCTATCGTTCCAAGAAACAGGTCTAGTGTAAGTAACATTTAACGAAACTCATTACCACAGTATGCGTTTCGGATACTGCTCAAATTAATTACACAGTACTTCCTTAGCTATCTTTTTTTACATCGAAGAAAATTATTAGTGTCTGCATCAGAAATACTGCGGGAGACATGAAAATACTCTCAATACTTCATATAGATGCTATTTCTTTCAATAGAAACAAAAACAAAAACAAAATCTTGAGTGTTTTCTATATTTGAATTGGTGTAACATGGCCTAACTTTGCATCGAGAGAAGAAAGAACAAAAGCTCGAAATTGATGTCATTCGAGTAGATCAATTACTTTGTTCGCACGATTTTTTAGAATAAGATAACATGAGATATGCAGTGCAAAAGTTTATTGGTAAAAAAAGAAAAACTGATCTTGTTCATGCGTCAATCATTCGTCTTGTTTTCGCTTAGTGTTTGTTTTTGTAAGCACGGGTAATTAAAAAAAAAGAGAAAAAGAAGCTATAATGGCAATAACAACAATAAGTAGTAGTAGTAACAACAAACAACAACAACAGAGAGAAAAACATTTCCTACGGAACAAACCACACGCAAAAACTTATGTTGAGACTTAATGCCTTCTTTTCTTTTGATTACATTGTTTCAATCTAAATTAAATAGAAAAAGATCTAATGAAGAAAATCAATTTAAAAGATCTTACTATGTCATCAATTTTTAAAATTGATCGAACAGTTTCAGTGGCTAAACGAATAGCACTAACAGAAACAAGCAATGGTTGAACGACATTTTCTTCGAGAATATTTGAGATAAGACCCTATGATTATCATTATGAAAATATTATAAAAATCTCTTGGCAAATACAAAAAAAATACTTTTCGAACGTTGATACCAGCATTTACATCATTTTGAGCATGACGATTTCTTAATTCAGTCACAGTGGCAATAGGATTCAAACCTGCATTTTCAGCTAATGTATACGGAATAACTTCAAGTGCCTCAGCAAATGCTCGTATACAATATTGATTAACACCAGATAAACTTTGAGCATATTCAGCCAAACGAACAGCTAGCTCTATTTCAGGTGCAGCCCCACCTGCTATCAATGCTCTACACAAAAAGATAAATATATGTATTTTTACTTTTTTTTTACCAACCTTTCTTTAACAAGACATCGGATAACACAAAGAGCGTCGTGAATTGATCGATCAGCTTCTTCAAGTACTAATTTATTTGAACCACGTAACAAAATTGATACAGTATGACCTGGATGTGCAACACCCGTAATCTAGTTAAATTAATATAAATAAAAAAAATTATTTTAAAGTTTCTATTTTTTAAAATATCATTGCTTTTGTTATTCTTCGAGAAAAATTTTCTTACGCTTAAGAATAGGTGTACTTATAAATAATGGAAAGTATATAGAAAAGTATGTAAGAAATGTTGAGCATTTCCCAATCAACGTCTTTTGTCATAAGTTTCTTTAATGATGAAATCGGATATTACATCATTCACATTTTGGATTTTCAAAATCCCAGATCCGCCTTTTCCCCTTGATTTTATTACTATTACTAATTATTACTTTCTTATATGTATATATAGTTGTCGGAAAATTTTTAGTACGACTTTGATTCTGATCGAAGACAACCAGAACAGCGACCTTTTAAGGTTATGAGTATAGTAAAAAAAACAAGTTTTCTAGTATTTACAATATAAAAACTAAAATTGTTGGCTAAGCCCATTAAAGATGATAAGCCAATCTTTAAGAATCATGTGTGTTTTCTACGCAAAAATTATTTGTGAGTTAAGTGAACTTGGCTTTTCCTGTGTGAAAACTTTTCAACGAAGCCATAATAATATTTCTCGCGAGAACAAAGAGACAGCATTATTGTAGAGTAAAGAGCTTTCCAAAGAATATTTATATTTGATAAATATAGTTCTTCAAACAAAGAACTTGCAAGTGTTCCCTGAATGGTATTTATCACAGAAACTAAAGATGCAAATGTTTTTTCTTGAAGCTTTTAAAATGATGCACGACAATCAACAGTTTCGGTTTATATCTACTTTATTTTTGTTATTATTACGAAATTTTTCGAAAGTTTCTCAAACAAGAAGAGTCAAGTTCACTAAGCACATGAATAATTTTTGTGTACACATAAGATATTTATCACATGTCGTTTGATCAAATATGTTACACAGAACTAGTTAGAATATTCGAAGTTTTCTTAGAATAAAAGGATACTAAATTACTGTGACTACCACTATCATATTTCTTTTGATTTTAATTAATTTTAAACAAGCTAAATTTACGTTGTAAAAATTTATTTTCAAAAAGGAAAATATGATCTCTAATAAAAAGAAACATTTCCAAAGATATTTAGCATTGACAGACCACAACATATCAGTTTTTGTCTCTCAGAAAATTAGAGCCAAGAAAGAAGACCATAAACTAATATCACTATCTCTTACATAAGCATAGAACTGCTAAAAGAACAGAAAATATTGCAGATTATACAATTAGAGCTCGATGTGTACTTCAACATACTATTCTTGACATAGTCATGATACATTATCCCTGATGAACAAAATATAAACTCTGTTAAGATGTTTTTTTGCTTCTAAATACCTTAACAATCTTGTCACAACCAGCAGTGATTTCTTCAACAAGCTCAGCGGTACCCAACATATCTTGTTGAAAATGATCTAAACTTGCGATTGGTTTGCAACCAAGTGTCTACAAAAAACAAATATTATTTGTTAGTTTTTACAAGAAAAAGATAATAATTTCAGTATACTTTTGCAATAAATGGCACATCTTCTCGCTCGACATCTTTAACAATTAAAATTTTCATTTTAGCTAAATAATGAATAGCTAAATCACTAATAGCATCCCGTAAAATTGATTTTTGTATGAGTAATACATTGCAGCTAGTTTTTTTAATTTGTTTTATTATATTTAATATGTATTGACGTTCTTCTTTAATGGCTCGATCCATTTGAGCATGATCACTAATAATTACTGTATTTTCCATCTAAATTTAAAATAAAACAAATTGATTATTTACATAGGAAAATAGATATGAATTATATACATCAGTTTTTGGTGGTGAGATACAGAATTGAATTAATGCAATTTTAGCCTTTTCTACACGTGTTGGTGCACCAAAACCAATTGTTTTTTGATCAAGAACAAGACCATCAACAAGTTCTGTATCCTCAATAGTACCACTTAAAACAAAACAAAGAATAATTAAAATTATCAATATCATAATACTAATCTACCCAAGTTTTTTTACAATGCGAATATCTCTTAAATCAACATTTGTATCAACACTTGGATCAATAACTTTAAGTACGGCTTGAACAGCAATTGGAGCCAAAAGATGAGTATGTTGAGAAACAACCTTAAAATTCATGACAAATATTTTAAAATTTCTTCTTGACTCTCTTCTTCTCACCTTTGAATTTAATGCAGTTGCAGCACTTCGAAGTAATGATTCCTTATCGCTTAGTTCTATCGGAATACTAATACTTCTAAGAATTTCTGTAGCTTTATCAGCTGCTTTTTCAAAAGCATCAGCAATCGTTGATGGATGAAGACCTATATTTAGAGATTAAGAGTCAAAATGAATTGAACAAGCTATAGTATCGAAAATAATAAATTACTAATGATCGTGTCGTAGAAAAAAAAGAAGACTATTTGCAACCAAAATAACTAATGACATTTAATTTACAGTAATTGCAAGAGAAGAAGTCCGACGAAGCTTTTACTTGATATTATATAAGGCAAAATTATTTTTATAAATCATTACCTTCGATAAAATGCTTAAAAACGCAGTTTAGTTTCAACCAAGATTCTGATTACATTAGAAAATCAACAGGTTTCTGTTATTTGATGAATACATGCGCTACCTTCTTTTCCTATCATTGAGGTATGAAAATGTAATCATCTAAACCATATTTTCAACTATTCATTACAGTTCTGTATGTCTACAATACTCACCGAAATGGAAATCCCATTGACAAGGAATACAATTTGTATGTATTCCTTGTAGGTTTCTCGAAAATCAAGACAGTTAAAATGGCACCCGAGATATTCTTTTTTCAAGTATTGCAAAACTGTCGATCACTACTTATTGTTGAGGATTTGCGATTAAACACAATCCTCTTCATTTCTAGTGTGAATAATAGTGCTATATAGATTTTTATTTTGTTCAGTATTTAGAAATCAATGGGATTTAATATTTTGTGTTGATGTAGCTCTTTCAAGCATTTATTATATTGTATGAAACTTAGTGTCTACTTTTAGAAATATTGGATCCTATTGAAGTTTAATTTACCTTTAACTACAAGGCGGCTAGCTGCATCAAGTAAACTGCCAGCAATAACAACAACTGTTGTGGTACCATCACCTGCTTCAATGTCCTGTGCTTTCGATAATTCGACCAACTAAAAAAAATAGAAATTATTCAAAACCAATTTATCAAATGACGAATTATTTCCGAAAAAAACGCGAACCATTTTTGAAGCAGGATGAATAACAGACATTTGTTTAAGAATAGTGGCACCATCATTTGTGATTGTTACTTCGCCGTTACCTGTTTGAATCATTTTATCCATACCACGTGGTCCTAAACTTGTTCGTACCGCATCAGCGACAGCTAAAAATTTCGACAAATTTTCTGATATAGAATACTATTGTATAATAATTGTTTTTGTTACCTTTAGCAGCTACAATATTCGAGTTACGAATAGCATCAGGTCGTTGTCGGGTTTTAAACGCAACATCGCCCATTGGACCAGATCCTGCTGCGCCTTTAGCGTTACCAGCAGCAACTGATGCAAATGATTTTGTTGAATCGCCAGTTGTCATATCTTCGATTTTATCTTAAAGACAAACAACAAACAAGACAATGAATATTTTTTTGTTTGATTTTCTAGCTAGTTTAAGTAGGCATATGTTATCGAACAGCGAAATCCGAAATAATCAACGACTATCGGAACAAAAGACATTAGATAAATGAAGGAAGTTAACAACAACAAAAAAAGACAGTCTCTAATAGATATATATATATATGAATAAGTAAATATATATATATATATATATATATATATATATATATATATATATATTAAAATTTTAACATAAACTAATAAAAGAAAGAAGAGTAT